TAAGACAACTCATGCGCGTATAATATGCACTTGTATTTTCTGAAACCTTATTAACATAAAATATATTATTCGCGAAAAAGTATTTCATTATATTATAACTGGATACGGGTACACAGCATGTACGGTGACTGAAAAGTAAGCTCCCATGTACATTGTACAGTATCTTCTAGTTACTGATAGGCCTACATGTATATGAATAAACTTTGCTCTAGATACGTGCAGAACCACAATTATAGCACATGCGTCATACACTTGTTGATGTACTGTATATAAAAACATAAATAAAAACCCTTTAAACTGAATCACTGCAAAATTGTTTTTTTTTTAAAGGAAAGACATATATTTCTAGTTAAGAAACGTTAAATTCATATTTCTACTCTTTTTGGTAAATTTTATCAATAAAAATCGTTAAGCGCGGCGTAAACTTCCAATACAGCGACATTGCCCAGATCAGGCAAATTTGGTCTCAGTGACTCTTTCTGTAGGTCAGCAAAGGCGCTCTCAGCGCAATTGTGCTGTCTCATCTAACGCAATTCTTGATCAAATGCGACTTCACCCGGTGTCGTGTTCGACAGGGCCCCCTCCCCCCCCCCTGCTGTGATACAGGGTCCAGCTCCCACTGATTTATACATGACAGCCCAGTCCGACATTGCGCTTGCCCCAACCTGTATAAATTAAATGAAGGGCGGAGTATCGGTTACACGAGCCTTCGGGTTTTCAACACATGTTCGGTGTTTTGGTGGGTGACCTGAACGTCTTATGGTCAAACCGCTTGCTCAAATTTTTATCTACTCCTTTTGGAACGTATTTTGCTGATATGAAGATATGGAAATGAAAAACGTGTAACATAGCGACAGCCCTTCATTATATTCGCACAGGTAAGGGTGAGCGTGACGTAAATGTATCAGAATCTAGAACGGGACTTATCAGTAGGCTTACATGTACCTATACTTCGCAATGCCGACCGAATCAAAGCTGTATCACAGGAGACTCTCGCGTGCATGGCACCCAGTGACATTTCAATTCCAAAAGTGAACGCAAGAAGCTACATGTACGTGTGTTAAGTGTGTATTGGTAATGAATTTTAACAAAAGAGGGGCTAGCGAGGATTTTGAAAAGAATAAGCACAAAACCGAGATAAACATATGAAATATAGTACGTGAGCTTATCGATATAATGTGTGGTGCACAGGCATGGGGTATTGCCTGACTTTACCTTGCTTTGCTCGTTATGGCGTTTAATGATAATAATTATTTTTGCTATTTTTATTATTATTTGTAATGGCGAGGGAGAGAAGAACGTGTCTGCTGTGTCCTCCGCTATTTTCTCTCTCATTTCCTCCCTCCCCTTCTCTCTCTCTCTCTCTCAACCGATGAAGGCCGAATAGAAATAAAGTTATCAATAACCTCATTTTCTCATGACTATCGAGTCGACGTTACTTGTTCTCTCAAAACTCGCATATAAAAAATACGTGGACCGCAAAATACGCGTACGTATTTTTTGCCTTTACCCAGCATTTAGTTATCTAAATCTGCGATTTCCCTAGCCCGTAAAAAGGGTCTGGGTACTATTGGTTTGTACAGGTAAGCCCCGCCCTAAATATGCTTCCCACTTACGTCACTCAAACCCTAACCAGTACGAATCTAATGAATAGCGGGCTCTCTAGATATATTACACGGACCCTTAGTTTCCTTACACAGGAGAATTCATTCCAGTTACCCAAAGATTCCAGTGAAGCGAAGTCCATTTTTTTCAGCTGCCAAAGAAGAACAATCAGTTGGATTAGATTTGTTCTACATAAAAGGCAATTCGAGTAATAACATGACGACTTAAGCAAAGTCCCCAGTAGTTTGCAGAAAGGGTTTTATTTTGCACCAGAAAGGATTGGACTATCACGACGAATGGCTGAGTTCTTAAAGAAGGGTGTTCACGCCGTCCCCTTGATCTAGTCAAGAACGCAAAGCACGGCAATACTTTATGTGAGATTGATGAAAGAATTTCCTTGTTCAAGGTTCTTTAATTAAATCAAAGCAATTTACGCCGGCGCCGATGTGTCTGCTTAATTCGTTAGGTTTCACGCTATGAATAATGGCCGATTATCCCGGACGATAGATGGCTTTTATGGTCATTTTTTTCCTACATGAATGGAACAACTTGCATGCCAGACGCGTGTTCCTGCGGAGAAGCTGTGGTCATTAAACTACGTACACCCACGTCCTATGTTAAAGATGTCCGAAAAAAAAAATGAAAGTTGAGAAAGTATATAGAATAGTTCGTGATATGTTATTATTTCTTCTACTGAATGTGTTTTTGATATTGTCTTATACATACGCACTTGTTCTGCCAAAATAAATGTATAAATTCAAATAAACACAATAAAGGTAATTAAATATAGTGCACAGTGAGAAAAGTAGTAAAATATCAGCGAATGCCAAGAACCCATTGGTCAGCAAGGATAAACTTGCCCAAAATTATGATAAATACATATTGTTGTGGTACGTTGATTGGGCACAATTATTGAGTTACAATTTACAAATTAAAGCATTTTCTTTTATTTTCATTTTGGGATTTTGCACTCTTAAAACAAAAGGCGTAAGCCGCAATTCTTTATTATCTATTGTTGATTTATTTTTGTTTTTATGAGTTGAAGTAGCTGATCGGTCCGAAGACGTCACAATGTGTGTTTAGAAACAGAAAGTGATACCCACAGGCAAGAGTATTATACATGTTCTGGTACTGTATCATAGATACACTGTAGCAGGCAATAATAAAAGAACAAATGGTACATCAATTGAAAATATTCAAGAGGAGTATTAAATGGTTTGGAAAATAAATAAAAAAATAAATGAATAAAGACAATGCAAAAAAAAAAAAAAAAAAATCAAAAAGATTCAATGGGATGAACGATGTTTCCGGCCATTGTTCTCTGCTGCCTGTAAGATAACAAAATACTCTTAGCAACGATAGTTTGAGAGAAGATACGGTGCACATTTCGTTACGTTGATACAAAGAGAACCTAGATGCAAGGACATTGATCAAGTCGAAAAAATCGACGACAATGGAAATACACCTCAAACTCGCGTCATAAATCTATCCGCAACGATACGACGTGCAAGAACGCGACCAAACAACAAACCAATGAAAAAGTAATTTCTATTCTCTGCGGAATCATTTACAGTGACAAATGGCACTATCAACGCATTGTTGATTGTTCTTATCGCCATTAAATTAATCACATATCAAAACGCGCTAGTCTTTCTGTACACACGCAATTTATATCAATAATTTTAGGTAATTAAAGAAATTGATGATTGATGGGACCCATCGGCAAGTACCCAGTAACCGCACTTAAGGTAAAAAGATTTCAGAAACTGCATCATCGAACAGAACGCCAATGCCATTAGGCATTTATTTCAAATAAAACTGCGTTAAAAACGACAATTTCAGAATGCCGGGGTTCACGATGGATGAGGTTGATTTTTAAACGTATGGTATGACAGACAATAAGATCTCTTCTTTGAATCCACTGAGGGTGTTTTAAAGGGTTCAACTAAAGTTCATTTGGCAAGGAGCATTGCACATATTTTAATGATGTGCGCATAATTATACGGGGCGGTTCTGTTATTGGTGGTGGTGGTGATTTTCGTGACCATTTCTGCACAAATCACAATGCCTAAGCATCGTGTAAATATGAGTTGCGTATTGGCTTATTAACGGAAGCGCGTGCTATTAACTGCTGTCTCTGGACACCTCTTTTTAAGTACTCCGTGTAATTGGCGCGGTGTTAATACAAAGCAATAAAGCCATAATTACAAACTGACGTTTAAACTAGATTTGAAGGAAAATAGTCATGAAGCTGATAGATAAACGAATTCTCTCGTTGAGATAGGACTTACAGAATCTGATCCCGTCTGTCAATGTAGCACTTGCCAAAAACTAAACAACTCTTCCCCTACTTGAAAACATCAGCACATTGCCGTACAAACGCAATACTAAGCTAAAAGAAAACATACAGGATAATAAGTATATGCCCCCCCAACGCTCGCGCGCGCGCGCGCGCACACACACACACACACACACACACACACACATGAAAACAACTTGCTGCAGATGCGCGTGCAGTACTAAACAAAAGAAAACTTACATTAAAATTATTACGACTTTTTTCACAGAATACAGTGATGTCATACAAAGTGCTCTCAACTTCCTACACCCGTTTCTGAAATATTTCTACAGTATTCGTCTTAATTTTGTTTCTGTCTTTTTTAAACTCTCTCTATCTCTCTCTCTGCCTTGAATTTTTATTTATATCTAGACTTTGCCTTTAAATGGAATATGCGGATTCAAGGAAATTCCTCGTAACATAACTCTATAAGATTACTATTCTTTGATTAGAATGGACTGCATTTTGCTTACTGCTTCGCAGCATTTCAAGTCCAAGAAGCAGACATACTGGTAGATAAACTAAATCCATGGCCTACTAGCAAACTCCGGTCGACTTCAGCTTCTATGAAATCTTGAATTAACTAACTTTCAAAAGACAATTAGATGATGCCGTGGAGAATTGACCCTGACAAACGGAATGTTTGCCTATTTGGATAAGTAATTAGAATGTCAGTCAATCAATCCAATTAAATTAATTAACGCTCTATGTCGATGCATGTTAATAATAGTCCCGCACTTTAGGGCGTTCGTCCGTTATTCATGGGCCTAATTGCATTATGGTCTTTCCCAGCTGGGGCGGTGGAAAGTTAGTCCGTTTCTTAACAAGGAAGAGTGCGAGTTATGCTGCATAAAAGACTGAACTCTGGGATTCGTGAAAATCATCTCAATTAGTCACGTGACGAAAACGTAACTCGCATTCGCATGCTAAAAAAAAATTACTGATCGAACCAATGGTTTGAGTCAATTACGTCAGGCGCCGATTTCATTTCCATGTTTCGCGTTCACTCAGTAGCTAGTGAAGACTGCATCATTTGTTAAATGACACAGCAGCAAAGATGGAAAGGCTCTCGGCGTTCGTAAGCAAATCGTTTAATCCGTCTCGGCAAGACGTAGCCGCGGACCCGGAAACCGTTCCCGCCAAAAACGACGGCGCCGCCGCCGCAGACGAGAGCCGAGCAGGAATTTCTGTGAGGAGTACTTTTGACAGCAAGGGCTCTCTTTCACCAGAGGAGAGCTGTAACAGTAAGGAGATGACTGAGAAAGCGCCTGTTCATACCGTCCAATCCACTGGCGTCACATCCACACTGGTGGTTGCGGGAGAGGGTCACCTGAAGACGCCACTTTGCCGGCAGACGACACCTGGGAAGGGGAAAGAAGGTAATATTTGTTGGAACCATCTGACGGGGCCGAGTTTCTTTTACTGTCAAGTTGCTCTTGCAAGCTGAGTTATCCCTGCGTCTGTGTGTGTGTGTGTGTGTGTGTGTGTGTGTGTGAGAGAGAGAGAGAGAGAGAGAGAGAGAGATTTAAGGAAGTATAAAAATGGCAAGGTTGCTGAATAGTCCACGCACAATAGCATAATCGTATCTAATTATATTCATAAAGAATTTAAATTGTTTGTTTTTTTTTATTAAGACACAGCAACACTAAATAAAAATTGATAGAATAAAAAATAGTTTTAGTTATTGTGTCATGCTGGGCTAGTTTTTGTAAATCAGTTTTTTAATTTTTAATTCTGTACCTGTAAATGAATTAAATACGCTTTTTTTGGCATATACAATTCTAGAGTCAAATTTGTTTGATGGAGATAAATTGATTACGCGTTTACTTAACACATCAGCTTAAAATAGCACATTGTTACTAGATTATTTATCAAGTTCAGGTTGAAGTTCTTTATTTCCAGTGTTTTGGTCAGCAGACCTCGAGTATGATTTCATTTTTTCTTTTTATTTTGTCACATGTTGTCTTTAGAACAATTACGTCAATAATCTTAACCATCCGTATATATCTGCAGAACTAGCCAATTTATTATGTATAGGTATATGCTTTTTCAACCTTAATCACGAAATAAGTCAATGCATTATGTTTGAATTCTAGTGTTGATAACACCTTGCATTTAATTAATTTTGATATAATTGTGCCTGTCTCTATATATTATATTATATTCTTTTGACCCAGTCATCTTTTTGAAAAAAAAAATATGAAAGCAGCCGCTCCTTGCTTCCAATTTCAATTAAAAATAGATTAAAAATTAGATTAAATTTCTAAAGTCCGAAACAGTGCTTGAACTCGGAATATCGTCACAGATATTCTACCTGACTTATTTTAGATGTTGGTAAAATACAGTGTAAATACATACAAGCACGTGAGTGATGTACGTTTACAAGTAGGGGACTAGTTCAAGAGAAGTTGTGCTATTAATACACAATTAATTAGGGTGAAACTACTGGCTATTGTCATGGTTAGAAAGGAGTGGGTGTTGAAATTCATGTGGATATAAACACATGACACTGCAAACATACTGTTGTTAAAGAAAATAAATAAATAAATAACTAAATAAATAAATAAATAAATAAATAAATAAATAAATAAATAAATAAGTGGTAAATGCAGGAATAAGAAAATTGATAGATAAACAACAAAAACTTGCGCTCTTCTGCGGTTCCCTCTAATTGAAATAATGCCGTTATCATTCAATATTTCAAGTGAATAATTTATCGTGTTATCCTAAAATCCGCGGCCGTTCTAGTTTGTGTTCCGTACAATACGGTATATTGGTACGTGACACGGGAAAAGTATTTAAACAAATGTAACTTTCGCTATACCCCCAGGGGATTAAGGAGCCAAGATTGATCCAATATAAATAGGACCATGTAATTAGCAAATTAACACGTGAATATACCATAGTGATCAATCAACCATCAGGTCTACTTGTTATAATCTAATTAAACCCCTCCTTTTACGGGGGTAGCGGTCTAGTAGGTTATCAACACGGATTTTGTAGTCTGTTGGTTCAAAAGCCGCGAAGAACATAAATCGTACGCGTGCATGTCACGCTTATGATTTCGCGCACGTGTGCGGAAGCCATAAAATGTCCACGCGTAGTCACGAAGCTTTTCATTGTTTTACCTCCCTCCCCCCCCCCCCCAAAAAAAAAATAAATAATAAAAATAAAAAATAAATAAATAAAATAAAAAATAGTAAATTAGAGGAGCATTGTTATATACGTAGGGAAGTCCAAATAATTAACAATCAGCAATGATACAAATTAATCTTTCAAGACGATTCTAGCCCTCTCTGTCTGCGAAAGGGCGTTCGTAGTATTCAATTAAACGCGTTACTAAGGAGCAATTCTTCTGAATTGAAAATATAAAAACAGATGTTATAAACTTGAAATTTAAAACTGCATCTCAAATATCAAAACGCTGTCATCAGTCTGATTCAGAGTTCATTTTTCTTTTTTTTTTTCCACAAAATGTCAAATGTCGCCATGTGTATTTAAAGAGCTGTATTTAAAGGCAAATAAGTCTTTACGAGGATAATTTTTTTCTTTTTTTTTCATTTTTATGCGAACATTCTCAAACTTTCATGAGACCTTCATTACCACAGAATAATTATACAATTGGTCTTTTTTTTCAGTAATGGAAGAAGACATCTGTGAGTTTCCCAATCACGAACCTTCACATTCCGACTCGGAAGACCTCCCAAAAATCAAGCAGAGGAGAAGTCGCACTAACTTTACCCTGGAGCAGCTACAAGAGCTGGAGCGACTGTTTGACGAGACCCACTACCCGGACGCCTTCATGAGAGAAGAGTTGAGTCAGAGACTGGGGCTGTCGGAGGCGCGCGTGCAGGTACGTGTTTGCACGTGACAGCATACGCACGAGATTTTGGTGGACACAAATACAGAAATAATAATAATTATAAATAAAAATACAATCAGCAAAATTCCCTGTTTCTTTAAACAATTTACTGAAATGAAGGGACCACTGCACTTTTCTTTTGAATATCAAATAAAGATATTTTTATACCCCATGAACAGACATTGAGAGACGACATGAATTAGCTGGACCTAATCCGAGTTAGTTACAAGTGTTTGTTGCACTTTTACCTTGCGTAAAAGTGCAACTTTTGAGCACAAGCAAATTCTCATTACATTGAAAGGATGTCACTTTCCCCTGGGCACATGCAGGATATCCTAAAGGGTAAAAAAGGAAGCTTTAAGAATTGACAATTCAAGATATTATCCTGTTAAATATAAACTGCATTATATTTGATGACAATCGGGAAGTTGTCAAAAGTCGTAATAAGCTAAGGGTTTAAAAATAGAGAAGAGGAGGGGCATATACAGGGGTGTCTACTTGTATGTTAACGTCTGGTATAAGAGTTTATACATACCTAGGGATGCTATATGACCGTGGCGATATGATGATCACTGAAGCCTGTCCACTTAGCCAAGCTTCAGTGAAGATCAAGGGCAACCTCGAGCCGCTACACAAAAATGTCTCGCTTCACTCGGCATTTCTGCGTAGCGTCTCTCGGAAAACTCGGATTTAACCTCAATTTAGTCTAGAATTTCACGACTACATCTTGGTTAAAACAGTCGAGGTCTCTTAAATGCTGAAAGCCAAAGACAGAGTGATCATGTGATCTTCTTGGCATCAAGAGAATATGCACGTTGCTTACGTTGTACCAGGGGGTGGAAACGCGCTACTTATATGATTATGACGAGCCTAACCGTCAGCACCGGATATTAGTTTGTGACCTTGAGGGGCAGTTAGGCTTGGTCTTTGCGGCACGTGCGAACAGTAGTCGATCTACCACACCTGGGTCTTTTGTTTTTGACAACTGTTCACTCGTCATCGAGGTGCTTGTTCAAGACTACAGACTGATATCTACTAGAACTACCAGTGGCTTCATTAGTAACGTTCCCACAATACATGGTTTTCTGTCTGTGCGTACATACCCTGAATTTGGTTAGCCTCACTGACGAGAACGATGGACGTTTCTTACCCCTCTCTAGGATTACCCCTGGTTATACACCTACCAGTAGACAAATTTAAAATCTCTCACACTCTTAAAAAATTAGCATTAACTTTTCACGTTTAACAATTATTATTGATCATTTTATTACCCTAATTCATATCATATGGGTATGGTTTGAAAACGGGAATTAGTTTACATTTAAGCCACACGTGTATTCAAATTATTTGTAAATATTACTTTTTAACGAGATTTGTGTTATTTACCTTTTGTTTTTAAGCTGTTCATTCTTCCTCTTTATCAGATATATCAGTAAAAATCAAATGTATTCCCCCTTTGAACTTGTAATAACATGTAGCACATGAATACTCTGAAAACCAGCATATGTATATTCCGAAACCGCCTCGTAGTAAAAAATGTCACCAAAACGTAGAGTTATTACTCCCGTGGACTTGAAATAAACATCCGTTTGGTTTGACTATATTCCGTAACCGCCTCGTCGTCAGAAATAACAATAAAAAACTAGAATTATTACTCCCGTGAACTTGTAATAAACATCCGTCAATTTAGACTATATTCCGAATTGCCTCGTTGTCAGAAATATCTCCAAAAAGTAAATTTCTTTCTCCTTTGCACTTGTGAAGAATTAGTTTGACTATATTCCGGTTTTTATCAGAAATGTCACTAAAAAGTAGAGGTTTTGCCTCGGGACCTTTTTTCCGCAGCAGTCCCAGCTAGGTGTGGCTCAGCTGAGACGCACATGGTCAGTGTCGACGGTTGATTAAATACTTTTCAGGCCAGTTGAACGTCCACGAAAAGTATTTAGCAAAAATTGACCAAATTGGTCAGACATTACGTAAGAATTTGGCGGGAGATGACTAGCGCACGTGGAAGAGTTTATTCCGTATAACATCTCTAGAGCGTGATATAGGATCACTTTATTCGGTTTTAGGGGTGTTTCAAGATGAAATGACTGTATTTTTTCTCGGTATGTATGTCAAATAATACACTGTCACCCTCTCGCGATATATGCCATGAACACCTCTCGCTGACGCTCGAGGTGTTATGGCATATATCGCTCGGGTGACAGTGTATTATCTCACACATAGTCTGTCTGTCAGTGAGTTAATTATTTAGGCTCATTTGTTAAACAAGACTGTTGTGTCATGCATTTATTTTTCATTGTATTCATGCAAATTTACAAAGAACTGGATGGTTTGTGAAAGTACAGGTTCTCCAAATGTTTCTAATGAGATAATATCAGTATTTCCTAAACTCACTCCATTGTGTATGTACATTATATTGTCTCTGTAGTGTTACCTAATGCCCCTTTGAGTTAACATTTTACATGTACGCATCGTGAGAAACGAGAAACTAAATTTACGACAACGGAAATTCAGTCTACACATTTCGTATTTCCAGCACGCAAAGAGGGAGAATTCGAAACAAAAGAGAAATGATATTCAATTACGCGCCACTATGTGGATAGTGGTGACATTTGGTGCATTTCACAATGGATTAGAGTAGAAAAACAGCAGAGACATTTTTCGGACTCTTTGATCTTTTTTTTATTGTTACATAGTTTTTTCCAATGTCAAAATGTGCATCGGCATCGCAGATAAAGATAAAAGCAATAACCTGTGTACAAGTGTGTAGCTCATTGATGAAATCAAAGAAAATCATCTTTAGATAACCTGAGCTAATTTAGAATAAAATATCAAATTTTGAAAATGAATGTATGTATTCATTTCAGTATTTAGAACACTTTTGCAGCGGATGACATTTGAAGACCTCATGAGAAAAGCACAAAAGTTTATCTTCTTTTTGTCTCAGTCTTGCCTAATGGGATAAATGATTGAATATGAAATGATAAAAAAGGGCGGCGTAACCGTCACGTTCACCCAGTGAGGTTCCTTAGTTTCAGATTATAAATTGGAAATAAACATGAACAATATTTACATTATTTTTTAATGCGCTGGCACTCTTAAACTAAAGTTTTTGAATAAATGAATAAATAAATAAAGGATTTAATTTATCAACAAAAATACACAATAGAAATATAGTAATTAATGGAGCCTAGCGATACCAACAAGGATATCTGCTAATATAATGTTTACGAATGAAAGCGGTAAAGATTAGGTTAAATGGGATTAATAGAGAAAAGATTTTCGACCGTATGTTAAAGTAATCGTCACTGAATCTGTTTTGGCTTAGGAGGTTTTAAAATAAATCCCATAAGCTTTTTTTAAATAATCATTTAAAAGCTTTCTCTAAAATTCTTTATCTGTTCATTTATTTTCCGTTTTTAGGTAAAAAGATGTGAAACATAATCCTGAACAGACGAATCACGATAAACACCGCGCTTTCAGAGGAATGTATATCATTGCTAAAATAGCTCTCACATCATTTCTGTGCACAGCGTCACCTGCGTTTTATGAGAAATTCATAACTTTGACACAAAAAAGGTAACAAAACAACGATTTCCGCACGTGCACCCATTTATCCGAAATCCAATAATTTCATTGCACGAAAATATTTCTCAGCTCGTATTTCTTCCTACGCGCTATTTTGGCGCATATATGTTTTAAAGTGCCACATACCAATGAAGTATTAAAATCTTGGAGCTATTGCTGGACATAAATCAAACCCCCAATTTTCAACAGTCAATAGAAAGTCGACAATTCATTTTCATTAATAATCAAACGTCAATTTCTCTCCGCTCCTCCAGTGTGGTGTAATTACATAAATGGCGCATGCTTTCAGGACGCATTAGCGGCATCGTCTTTTTCATACGATTAATAAATCAAACCTTTAACTGTACCTTGGCGGAGTGAGCAGACACAGAACTGGTGTTAATAACTCGATGAATTGTTAATAAGCGCATAGAACGCTGACTAGGAGATTGACTCGGCTTTAATAAATTGAATTAGCATTTCATGATCTTAAGGCTCGGCGGACGTCGGAGTGGATAGAAGTATGGCCAACGGGGAGATGGTACATCGATCCAAATTTTTTTCAGACGAAGTTTTCTGCTAAGCCTGTGCCTAGCGTCTCTGATGTGTACCTCGTAAAAGGGAGCGTAAGGAAAGAGACACATGGACGGATTAAAAGAATCGCAGGAAAAAAACGCGAAAAAACTCACGTAGTTACATATACTTGTATGATCCGTGCATTTGTTGGCGATACATTTGCAAAACGAAGATGCATAACAATTATGCCATTTCTATGCCATTTTCTATTTAAAGTTTCCGTTATATGCTTATAGGGACGAAAGAAAACTGAAAACCTCGCTGTAAACAAAATTATCGCGCTAATTAATGTGATTTATCAACTTCTTCTTAGTTGTTTTAGGCGACATTAAGTAGACGGAAACTAACAAAAAAGTGAATAGAAAGTAGTGATCACAGTTCGTTATTAATGACCATTACATTGATTAAAAGAGGCACAGCCTTTCGAAAATATCTGAATTAAACAGTGGCCGAAAAAGTAAACTATACAGGCATGTGCTCTGTACCCTTGGATAATGTACATGTACCTTTTGTATCCGTAGATTATGTATTTCTTTATGACTTTTTAATTATTCCAAAGTAAAGTCAGAAACAAATTGATTAAGCTGATTAAAATCACTGTAGTACTAATGCACTCTCACTCTGTTGGAGACATATCTAATGGTACTTTGCAAGTGCCATATTCCTGGTAATAAAGTGTCTTTTTCTTGCCATTTCATTTGTAGTAAAATTCTGAAACACACTTCGTATGTGTATGTGTATGTGTAGATACCGTAAACGTATGAATGTGTTTGATTTTAGGTAAGTTGGATGGCTACATCTACTTTGTTTGAAACTAATTCCTTGAGTCTATAAGTTCATATTTTGGTGCCAGAATGTGTTCGCTTACCTGGAGTTTAGCGGTTTCTCTGCTGTCTGTTTAATACGCGTAACAGCAACCACGTGCAAGCACAAGTTGCCTTGAATGAAGATCTGGGCACGATGAGATATTAAATTGAAATTTAGTTTACTGCTAAATTAATAAATAATCCGAAAAAGTAAACAATTTAAATGCAGTACACGCATGTTTTAATTCCTTCTTATTTTTCTTAACCAGAATAAAGTGGGCTTTACTTACTTTTTCAAAATATCAGTTACCTTGAAAGGTCTTATGTCACGCGGGATATATTCATAAATTTGCTCTAGCACCGATATTGCCGCTCATCAATACAAAATGTTCAGCAGAGGAAGATTATTTAAACATCGTAATAAATGTGTCGAGAAAAGTTCATTGAAGCACAGGGTACTATTTCACACATTCATAACAAAAATTAATTTTATAATACAAAGTTCAAAGCACTTGCAGTCACAAGGATTTCAACTTGTGTTGCATAAACGTTAAGGATATGCCAAAGCTTAAACGCGAGGTACAAGCGATTCCAAACTATGCTACGTCACGACAGTTTCATCAATACAGCTACTTCTTTTCAGTTCGTTACTCCCGAAGTGGCTTGGATTATAAGGACAAGCGAAAGAGCTCTCTTTTTCCATTATTTACACTTCGCATTCACCGGCTCCCGCGGGGCCACGGCTACATATTAACCAATTACATTAAGGTTTGAAAGACAAATTGGAGGGGAACTTCTTTATTTGTAGGCCCAATTCTCAAAATTGATTGATAATTTGATTACGCCTAATGTTGCTTTTATGTCGTATTGGACAATAAATTTAATTATCTTCAACACCAGGACCCTGTAGGCCCGGGGTCGGCGGCGAGAGACGTGCGAAAGTGGAATAAGCTCAACACTTTGCTGAATACTTGAATACAAAATCTATCCTGCAGGTCTGACGAGACTGATGATGGTTATGATTACGAAAGTAGATGCCTTGTAGTGAAATAAGTGATAGATATCATCTTTACCTTTTTATAACTGACCCATCTGGTATACCAAGGGCGGGGGTGGGGTGGGGTGGGGTGGATGTTTGGAAAATATATTTATGGGGCAGTTTTGGCAATTGGGGAGTGTCCGTGTGACTTACACATATTTTCACCTCCTTTGGAAAAATAAAGGGACTTAGGGTGGTTATTTTGGAATAGTAAGAATGACGTGGCTACTGTGCCATGATCAGTTGCTGATTTACGTCAAAATCGTAATTTTGGGCCGAGTTTAGAAATGCTTTTAGGCATTTTTGTTTAGCACACATTAAAATAGTTCCAATTACTGTATTAGTCTAAAATTAAATATGCTCAGCAAACATGTCAAATGAAATATTTGATTCAGTTAAAAGAACGACCGATGTTAAACAGGAAAATATACATGTACATGTATAATGGTTTTCGTGTAACTTTCGTCCAATTCAGATATGACCCATGGAATAAAACGTTCTTATTATATGTAAATCTATAGCCAGTTTTTTTACTTGAAAAAAGTAAATCGCTCGAATCATTAAAAGACTTGGAAACAGTTGCAATCATAACATATCAGTCGAAATAGACCTGCCACCTCGAGAAAAAACCTGCTCTCTAATGCAATTACGGGTCACACATTGAAAAGGGTGGATAATCCCCACCGCTACTGCGTAAAATTAATTTAATAACTGAGGAATGCATCGGGGCAGTTAAGTGGATTACTAAGCATTATCAATACATCTATTAATCTTAATCAGGTTACGGAAGATACACCGTGAGTGGATGGCCGTGTGTATGAGAATGGAAGTTGTAAGATTGTTTCTGATATTTGGTTTGGGAAAATGGTAAGATTATTTTGACATTTTCCTTCGCTATTGACGCTTAATATATATGTGTTGACCGCGTCACGTCCTTTAAGACATGAAGACATGGGCTATAAATTGCAGTTAAAGTAAAGTGCGATTTTAACGGCCCAAGCATACTTCTCTATATCTTTTAGAGATGGCATTGGGGTACGTGAGATACTGGTACATGTATCTGTTGAAAATGTCTCTGTACCTTTTCCGTCTTCCTCATGGAAAATAAAGGCATTGCCTGATGACGTGATTTAGAATGATGTGCTGTAAAAAATGAGAACCCTGTTAATGTACTTTGATAGTCTTAATACTCATATCTGTAAAGTAAATATCTTTTAATGCGTTTTGTAAGTGAGTCATATATTCTTTTCTTTTCTCAATCGGATTTAATGTACCACCATCAATTGAAGTGCTTTTAAGGAAAATGCAGATAGAAAAACACTTTCAAAAATGCCCGGCGCAACTTCTTAAAGGTACATACGAACCGAGCATCGGTGGACCGTGGATTCCCAGTAACACATGTAAACCACTTCTACTAGTTTCTTATACGACTCAAATAAATTCAACATGCCAAGGGATAAACTGAATAGATCACTCGATCAGACATAAAAGAGCTTTACACTGCTCCTTTCTTAAAATTTTTGGTCGGAAATTTAACCTACTTCCGTGACCTACTTTTCTGCCCCATTGACATGCAGCATAGAATGCTAGCAGAAAAATCTGTTCAAACATCATTTTCGGGTAAAATTAAACAATGCCTTTTGGTAATTCTCTTAGTTATACTACTTGAAACTATATGCTGGCATTTGGTCGGCTTTTGTGACAAAAAATGACTTTGTATGCATCTTTAACCGTCGGTCGTTCTACACTCATACTGGTACACCCTCCCCAAACCTACATACACTGTACGGTACGCTGTCCTAAGATGAGCTATAGAGATCATTATTTAAGAAAATGGTATCAATATAAACTTCGGTTAAAAGTGAATTTCTTATGATTAGTTTTCTTTTTTTGGGGTGGGGGGGTGGGGGGTGGGGGTTAATTTTATTGCGTGATGATAAACACATATTGTGTCGTAATAATTTTTTTTGCTTGTTTACATTAGAGCGAACTGTTTTCATCAGAAATATTGGATAAACTTTGGCAATGGAGTTTCCTCGTCTTGCATTCGTGAATGCTCATGCTCTCAAAGTACTGATAAATTCACTACTGTTTTATCAATGCTAATTGTACAGTTTATTACAGTATCTCTATATGTGCTTATCCAAAATCAACGTTTACAAAAGGAAAGCAAGCAGTTGTTTGACCCCTATAAATGAACCCATATTTAACGTACAGCGTTTTTTTTTTAAATCAGAATAGACACCTTTTAAATGTAAAATATATGAACAACCTAATGAATTTTGGTGAGCGAGATTGTGATTTAACGTTCCCAGTACATTTCAGGGTTTTCAAAGGTAAAGGCGGCACTAAGTAAATGTATAGCTAACTAAATGTTTAGCTAACTAAATGTTTAGCCTGCTCAAACGTGTAACACGTATAGCTGTAGGCCATTCAATTTGCTGTTCATATGATGTGGTTGACTTAATTTTGCTGCTTCTTCACTTGTTCTGCGTTATATGACATGTGACTTATACCCATCTGTTCCTATAACCTTATAGTATTCATTTTTCTTGTTCTTTCTGTAGGTATGGTTTCAAAACAGGAGAGCGAAGTGCAGAAAACAAGAAAGCCAGGTGCAAAAAGGTGATTTGAGATTTCACGATATTTTTGGTTGATTTTTTATTCATATTGAAAGAAATAATAATCATCATAAAACCTTGTTGCCTAAGATTAAGCTTACTATTTGTGTGCAGGTTTAGTACTCATGTATAAATAGGAGAAATACATGTGTTGGGTAGTCGGTGATTTGTCTCTCTGCAGGCGGCGTAGTACTGTAGACTGTAATACTTCTCAAGCAAATGAAGTTTATTCAGTAAACTGTTCGGTAGCATCTCCATTTACTGGCATGTCATTTCCATCCTATGTAAACTGCATCACTCTCGATATAATACCAATAATCCGCTACAAATGATTGAAAAGCTGTCAGGATTCCACTTTGGGCAAATTGATGCACATTGAATTAGGGATGTATAATTCAATCAGCGTAATTCATCCATTAGTTAATCTTAAGTACATAGGATGTAAGGAGTTAGATGAAAGTTATGAGACGAAAAAGTGACATCCTCTTTCTTACGCTGAGCGTTCCACTTACATAAAAGCGCAGACGTGGGAATCTAATTGTCGTCTGCTGTCGCGTAGAGACACCGGTAGACTTAACACATATTTTGGAAAAAATCGAAGCACGTTGGAATTAAATCAGTGTAAAGCTTCCTTTGGGAAGAAATGACATTCCATTTTACGAATACTGGGTAGCATCATTGGTGATGTTATAATATTTTACTGAATTAATTGAGAAAATCATTTCTGGCATTACTTATATTAATCAGCTGTACCCCTAAATTAATTGATATTTAAAAGACCCCAAATATCTCTTAACGATAATTTATGCAATGGCTATCTTACTTTGCGAACACGTTGTTGTCAACTAAAACCGCGTGTAACGGTGGAAGTAGTGTCACTGTACGTCTAATATTAAGCTTTGTCCTCTTTCTATAAGTGTTCCGTGTGAACCATGTTTTAAGTCACGAATCTGTTTGTTTTTAATCATGAGAGTTTTCATGTTATAAATACGATTCACTGAGATGCACAACCGGGAACATATAAGGCTATCAGTATAATAAAATCGTTTTCTCCATTACAGGCATTTTCATCCAGCCGGGGGTGACGATAGGTGGCGACAGTTGCCGACTGGCCCCATATATCAACATGCCCTCTATGAGGCTCACCTTGGACCGTCTTCACGCCATGCCACATTTGGGCCAGTTTGACCCCACCCACTTTACCCAGAATCCCTACTTGCTCATGGCGGCCGCGGCATCCCCGCATTCTTACGGAAGCCTAAGTCTTGGGCCACTAAGTCCGGTGGATTACTCGGTATCGCTGACAAAAAACTCGAGTATTGCTGACTTAAGACTTAAAGCAAAGAAGCATGCAGCGACTCTAGGGTTATAATAATACAAAGGAGCCACAGGTTAATTGCGAATTCAAACTAAACCCTGGTGCCATATGACATACATGTACCAATACCTTCTGCTATGTACTTCGTGTTTGTCGCTGAGAAGCGCACCGATAGAACACGTTTTGAATTCTGCAGCACGTAAACTGTGCTACAAGATATCAGTTTTTGGATACATGTATCTATGTGCCCCATGGCCACGCTGTGGAGGGGGGAGACCTAGCGACATTTAGGCCTAGTACATGGCTAAAACACGGAAGGGACATGCTGAACTATATATATTCTTCAAATGATTAAGTACAAGTATGTTCACATAGAGCAAAATGTATATGTTTTAACATAATGTAAATGTACAGTGTACATAAAATCCGCCTATTCATGTAACTTTTATATGTCAACCTGCACATGTACAGTGAACTGCTGCTATGTTTGTACGTGTTGGGAAGTTATTCACTCTAATGTCTTCTTTAGTTTATTTTTTCACTGTAATTACATAAATAAACCAACATATCAAATTCAATATTCCTTTAAAACTTAGCATGCAGACAGAAGGCGATTGAACACGTGGAATTTAAAAACAAAAAGTAATTTTGAAAGAAGCAACCGTAAACAAATTATTCGTATCTTGGTCAATGTCATTTACAACAAGTCTTTTGTCATAACTTGATTGTGAATTTTTTTTTTTTTTTTTTTTTTTTTTTGCGGTGGTATTTGAAGAAACCAATATTCGATTCTACATGTACTTCTGAGCCGCAAACATTGTGCTTTTTACTTTTACTTTTTTCTTGTTTCGAAAATATTTCGTTCTTCTTAAATGATATGGATTTATTTAGAATCACAGTCAAAAGGTTGAAGGTTTTTGTGTAAATGCTCCCTGAAATCAACCCTGTTCGTTATTTAACACGTGTAGTTTGGTGTAATCTGTCTTACCATGCTTGTGACATTAAAAAAGACAAGGAAATATGCTAGTTTCAAATTCACTTGTAATATCCACAGAATATCGCCTCTCTTTCACAATGCAGACTTACAAAAAGCGTGAATTCCACTTCGCTTAATTAAGTAAAAGTTACTGCTGCTATATGTCCTTTTTGTTTCTCAATAAAGTGAAAATACCCTAAAGCTACGTTATGAAACTTTTGTTAATGAATGATTACCAAGAAATGCAGCAATTACATGGGTTGAACCATATTGTATATTGGTATAATATTTTTTTTATAATTTTGTCTTCGCTTTTATATGTATTATCATTATCCTGCCGCTAACAAAAATCTTGAACAGGCGAAAGGCAAAAGAAAGCATATACTGATGAAAACACAATTACTTAATTTTATAAACATAACATATACTAGCACATGTTTTCAAATTTGAAGTGTCGCGACTGAGATATTCGGCAAATAATTTCGGTGCGGGCTGTGTGCACAGAACACAAGTCTCCTTTGGTATTTCTCTGGATAAATGTCTAAAACATTACCTAAAAAAACCTTCCCTTAAGAAATGGATCCCTGTAATTTATTTCATTACATGCGCGTGGAGAAAGACATCCACATCGAAGTACAAATCTATACCCGTCACCACGGGGAGTGTCTCTTACACCTAAAACGTGTTGCGCAAGTGATTTCTTTCTTCATTGCCTCCTACACTGACCGCTGGGGACTCTCACTTATTTCGGGCCTTTCTCTGATTTATTTCACTGGTCTCTCAAAGGAATGGAGGTTTTAGCTGAGGACCGGAGAAGAATGTCTCGGTGAAGAGCAAAATTGGCTTCGATTTATTGACATTACTGGTAGAAAACAAAGCCAATCTTATAATGGAAATGTTTTAAATGGTGGAAAGAAACCATTAAAACAGTGAAGTTTATGGAAAATTTGACGCTCACTTAAGCATCTTTAAGTTAAAATACACTGGCACGTCTTCGATACGCCCAAGTCGATTTTAGAGTAGAAACCGTCATAGATTTTCACCATCTTACGTGTACATGTGCCCTAATCCTGTAAGAATCTAATGAAAGGGGGGGGCTTTCACACTAACTCTCAGTTTCTTCACACCACCATGTTTATTTGTCAATTTTGTGTATATTTTGGCACGAAGGGAATGTTTCAATCACATGCCTGTTTGTATGAATAGTACAATGTACGAATAGTAATTTAACTTAGCGAACGACCGCCAGCTGGCAGCACAATATATGTTGCCATTTGAGGTTACTTTTTTGACCAAATACTGATGTGATGATTTTGTTTCAACAAGAACTTAATAAAATTATTTCAATACTTTTAATTAAAGGTATTTTCTTTAAATCTATTTTGTCCAGAATCTTATTGCCAGTAGACCTAAATGCAATGTGCCCTGTCACAAGGAAAAATACTACATTTTGAAACGATGACTGAAGGAGTTACTTTCTGTTTCACTACAGTGTCCAAGACTATTCTATATTAGAGGTCAGCTAAAGGTTACAGTCATTTCCAAGAATTAATTTTCGATGGGCAGTAGAAAAAAAAACGCGTAAATAATTTGCGGGAGACATAACTGGTACATGAAAATATCTTGTGAAAAATCAATCTTGTAGAGGGAAATGCAAGTCCGTCGGGGAGACATATGGAGTAAAAAAGTCCAATTATGAATACCCACCTTCGAATATTTAAACAGAAAAATCTTTAGAAAGTAAATAAATCTTACTTTAAAATAGTATGACGGATACCAATCTAGTAAAATGAAATCAAATAAAATTAAAAGGCAATGATATTAGCAATAAACTAGAAATCCTCTCAAGGTGTTGACACACTTTTTAATGCTAAAGTTACTGGTGTATTGTTTGTAATTGAGTACGCGTAAATAAATTTGACTACTAACCGACAGACATGTTATTAAACTCCCAAAATAGATCAGATGAATATCCGGTAGTGACATTCACGACCCTCCGCTTGAAGGTAAACCAAGGAGTTTTAACTGTTGAAATTCCTTGGGTAAACATAATAATAACATACAAAGACGTACACAGTCTACATCTAGGTCAAAAACACGAAAGTAAGGCAAGACATGTGATTATACCCGTACGTCATAATACATGAATAGGAGAAAGTGTCGTTGACAAAATTAGCTCTTGTGGCTGTAATTATTTATGATTTATTCTACTCCAAAATGACAGGGGTAGGTGCACGGAGACCGCAGCGCCTGTTACACGTTATTTTAAAGCGACCACAATGCATAGCGAACAAAAACGTCGTGAGGGCGGGGGAGGACGGCGTAGGCGAGAGGGATGAGTTCTCGTGGTCAACTGTTAATAGTGAACGGAGAGTGGGGTGGACACTTTGATAGAGACTGAGGTTTTGGCAGTGTGGTGGAAACAAATTTGAATGTCAAAAGTGGGGATAAAATATACCAGAAAAATAAATAAATAAATAAATAAATAAATAAATAAATAAGTTGAAGAATAATTCGTTCGTCATGTCAAGTAAAAGAGTTATTTCTGAATATTAAATTAGAAAATCTGTTATCAAAAGTAAGTGGGGTGAATTAATGGCACATAATACTTGTTGGTACCGGATTTTAATCCTGTTTTTGATACTCTTTCTTGATGCGTAATGTCAGATGCACCATTACTGTTTTTTCCTTTTGTTTTGGATAAGCGAAATTTATAAACCATTTCTTTTGATAATTTCTCAGCGGTGATCTCGAACAATTTTTCTTTTTTTTCTAACGATTAAATAGTTCAAACATTGCGTATGTAAATCAAATAACGCTAGCTAATCTCAAAACTCATTTCCATATACCCCCGCCCCTTCTCTTGCATCTGTAAAACGCACATGGTTGCCTTGGTACACAAACACCCTTATCACACGGGGGTGTAAACACTACGGGCGTTCACATAACGGCATAATTACCAACCTATAATGCCTATAATGCCGAAGGATCCGGTTTGTTTACCTTTTGTCACGATTCGGGACATGAACAGAGCTAAATCTAAGCCAAGCGGAACGCTGGCACAGTTATAAAAGAAAGGTGCCATATAGAAAGTGAGAATAAGGTGAAATTGTAAGAGACCGCCAAGCATCTACGACGTCGATTTTTTTTCATTCATCTTTTGGTAAGGATACACAGGTGAGTGTATTTGCTTCAATCAGCATATTCCAGATATACAAATAGAAACGGAGAAATCAAACTGGACAGTAAATATCAAATATTCTTTGGGAATTAACTAATACAAAAGGTGTGGTTCTTATGCTTTTTTATCTGTGGGATTTCCGTTGGGTTTGACAAATTGTGACGAAGTAAAGTGCCACCAATTCACACGAATATCAGTGTACAGCACAAAATAAGCATTTTTCTCATTTTTGTGATATCTTTATTAGATAGTTTTAGTTTGCTTTTCCAGATGTCGTATCTTAGAACAGTTATAACATTTATATGCCAGCTAAATACAATAGTTAAAATAACGGGATCCTTTGAAAATAAAAGTTTCGTCCTAATTTATCTCCCTAAGCTTATAGTCCTCAACCCCCTTTTTTAAGATATATATTAAAATATATTACAGGTCGTTTATCAATTTGGCGCAATCGTGCCACAATGTCGTGCAAGTTAGGTGTATTTCTGTTGGTAGTCCTGGCCCTGAATGCCAGCTCGGAGGCATGTAAGTATAAATAATATATTTTATGCTGAATTCTACGTCTGCTCCTTTACCAGATGCATGCGTCACAAAAGAACTTTAGCTCGAAAAATTGTCTAGAATTTTAGCCTAAAATATCAGCCTATTTCGTTTATAGATGGAGTTTAAGCACCTAAAATAGATGAGTATAGACCAGAAATCTTAGAAAAGACATGCGTCTCTCGTCACAGAATTACCTCAAAATGCCCCGATTATCCAGATTTTACGGAGGTAAGTTTTTTTTTTTGTTTGAACTGTTTAAGTGTTGCATTGTTTTCTTTCAGGGTTGGTTAGTAGTTTCGTTCCCAAAATTATTACAAGTGTTATCCAGAAAGTTACATCCAAATGTCCCGATTATCCGGATTACACTGAGGTAAGTTTGGTCCCTTGAAATGATTAGTTCAATCAGTTAAATTAAATGAGGAAGAGCGGTAGAGGGAAAACAAGTAGGAAGAAAAGAGTTATATTGGAAGGATAAGCGAAAAAAATGATATGTTTTTCTACTGAACCCCTTCTTGTTCATTTGACGCTGAATGAAGGTGCCAGTTCTGGCGTTTTTTCTCAGAGGTTTAAATTGAATTACTAGTATACTAGCTTATAAATGCTTCTCTATTTCACCTTCCTCTGCGTTTTCGAGATTTCAGTTCTGTTTACTTACTGGTGTAAGTCTTGTTTCATAAAACAAGTGTCTATAAAAATAATATCAAAACATCTAGCTTTCAATAAAAAATAGAGTAAACCATCATCCTGCCTCTAGTGTCACTACATACTGGTCACGGATGTATGAAAGGAAGAGAGTAAAGATACAAAGATGGAAAATACGAGTAAACTTAAAGCCACTGGACACAAAAATAAAGATGAAACGTTTGCGTAATTTAATCAAGTTCTGTATCCATCTTCCCTCTCAAAGATGCTGGAGATATCATTGTTTAAAATAATATATATATTATCTCTCGCTAAAGCAGGCTGTTATACTAGAACAGGGCGTAGCCCTGAAGTAAAAAAAAAAGGGTGTCCCGCAAGATAAGCTGAATTGTGACTTTTACTTCACGGTTTACTAAAATAAAGATATATAATCTGCGTCTGTCAGCGCTTAGCTTAAGTGATATTAAAGGCAAATGGTAGTGTCAAATTGGAGGGAGCCCAAAGTTGGATTTTGTCTGACATAGGGTATAGTTCAAGGGAATTTCTGGTCAGAGGTTTTTATTAATACTTGGCGTACGTAGGAACTTTCAGCTAGAAATTAGAAATGCTGTCAGCAATGTCCATTATATGTTTTTGGCAGCCCTGATTTTAAAGCTATTGGATTAGATTTTTTTCTTGAGAACGAGCATTCTCGATGTCAAATTAGTCTGACTTAGAAATGGTTCTATACGTTAAAGCGAGACCTGTGCAAATATGTAAGAGGGAATTCAAATGATGAAAATTTGAAAAATGGTTGTCACAGAATTGTAAAGATGCCTGTCCAAGCGGAGATGACTGTTATGACACGCGCGGTCGTTAGTGAAAGTTGGCGGGTACAGTTGACAAGCCAACATTCAAGGTAGACGTAAAGATAATAATTATGCTGTCCGTTCATCTTTTGGGTGACGACATTTACACATTAAGAGTGAACGAGAGATCGCACATATGCTCTGCTTAATGCTGCGAGGCGTTGTTGAAGTCATCTCCGTAGACTGGTAGAAGCTACCCTGTATTAGAAGAATAATTTGTTTCATTTAATGTTCACTTACGGTTCTCAATCTAGAGAGATGACGCTAACCCTGAATCTTGTGTCCGTTCGTGCGTGTGTGTGCAATGAAAGTGTGTGTGTGTGTGTGTGTGGGGGGGGGGGGGGGGGGAGTATTCCCCGTCTTTTATTTCTTATAAAAACTCAAAGAATTACTTTAATGATGTAACTGTACTTTTGAGTTGTTTTGAATTAAGTATACCAGTACCTACATATAATCACGACATCTTATTCGAACATGGAACCTGTTCAATACATGTATAAGGGTCTGAAATATTACAAGACTTCTTTTCATTGGGAATTTGATTTTGTATCTAATGGTATCCCTTTTTATTCGAGTTGGGATTTAATGACTTTCGCTCAGTAATTTTGATTTTGGATCTTATTCAGTGGGAATCCGTACTGGCATAATGATGATATTGTGACATGATTTTTTTTTTATCAAACTCGTTTCAGATATGCGACTTAAAAAAGGAAGTCAAGTCCCTGCAGTCGGCCGTGCAGTAAGTATACTAATATATGTCTGAGTACTAGAAATACATACAAAATGCGTGGCGTACCTAGTGAATGGCAGTAAGTGTGCGTATTTTGAGCATCGCCTGAAGGGAGAGCTATTCAATGGTGAATTTATCTTTAAAGAATAAATGTTAAAACTGAATAAAACAGATGTCAGATGTAAAGACACGGTAGCAATTTATTCGTAGCCACAGGCGGTCTTATACATTTCTTTTCCAAAAATACACTCCTTACAATAAGATTCGTGATGAGCCGAATACAAAAAAGAAATACTTTTCATCATCTGTACCAGTTTTTCAATTACTACCCAGCAAACACGTCATGTCCAGATCACGTGACTAGCACGCTGCTATGACGTTATAGTCTGGTAGCAACGTGCGAGCCACGTGATCCTACCCGCACGAAAATGCAGTAGTATCGAAGTAGGAAAGAAGCATTAACGCAGTAGTGGTGTGGAGCATATTTGCAGTAGAAATGCAGTATAGCCTACTGCAATTCTACTCCAAAAAGTACATAGGTTTGTACATAGGTTGAGAGGAGCATTAATGCAGTAGATTAGCAGCATGATAGAAGCATGTTTCAAATATGCTAATTAGCTCCCAGATCGAAGCAGATTTGAAGCATGTCTGCAGTATGATTGCAGTGGTCTACTGCGCTGGAATATCTACTGCGTTTTCGTGCGGGTAAGGTGATGTGCTTGCTGAATACCTCTATGAAAATCATATTACGCACCGAAAGTATCGGTCCACTGCTACAAAGGTGACCAAACTTTAAAGTACAGTGCATGTTCGACAAGCTGTGTCTTAACACATATCAATTTTGTATCGTCTACTGAATGAAATGTTGACTTACACTAGTTTATACGACTTATATTGCCGGGAAGAAGTTGCCAGGATTTGTACCGAATTAACGACGTTGTTGTGAGCAACTGTAATGTTTTATTTTACAAGTTAAAAGAGAAAACGTTATTATGACATTTTTAATCATTGTGTCTTCTTTTCATCATTCACATGATCATTTTAGAAGGCATTATTATATTTTAAGCATTCAACTTTGTAACTTTATATAATGTAGATTTATCTTAAGGATTTAAATCTTTCTCTTTTACATTATAGATCGAAAGTGAATCTGCGTAATTCTGAATACAACAGGTGCAAAGCTAAGAGTGATAAACTAAAAGAGATTCAGACAGAATTCGGCAAAGTGGTGGAACTTTACAAAGAGGTAGGTTTTGGTTTTAACAACACTTCTTTTTCGATATATATGTTATCAAATACTGTATCATTTATTATCACCGAGCATGTGACACCTGTCAACTAAATTTCAGGAAAAATGTCTTCGTGAAGCTGTATCTTTTTGGCTTGAAATAAAGGTATTTTCAAAACAGTACATACAAAATAAAAAAAGTGAAAAAAAATGACAATCTTCACAATATCCAACATGGCCTGAGTCAACTTTTGAAAAGCGAGTTTCTAATACACTTTTCTTAAACAAATCAGCTTCTTTTATAAAAAAATATTTACCAAAAGCTTAAAATATTCTACCCCTCGTTGGCTTGCGACCAGCCTGGACGTAGGCCTTCATCAGAATGGCGTGATTTGTTTCTTAATGGCCGCAAGGTGAACATTTCTGCTCAAATCACTCTCTATTCATGTTGCAGATAACATTCCGAGTGCATCAGATGATCTTCGTGGCCAAGATGAGAGGACAGTATGGCAACTTCGACTCGTCCACTCCCTTGGCCGAGATGGCAGAGATAAAGAGCACCCTTGAAAAACTAAAGAAACTGAAGACAGACATTGACACAGGTATATATGTAGGCCAGTTCTTGTTCTGGCACTGTAATCTTTATTAACCGTCTACGCATACCTGTATCTGGATTTGTCAAGTGATCGTGCATGTGATATAAGCTTTACCGGGTTTTCTGGGATTTTTTCGGTAAAAAGCGAGTACTTTCTCTCAGCATGTATATCAAATAATTCACGGCCACCCTCTCGCGACAACTGCACTTTTGATGACGCTCTAGCTGTTCTTAAATATGCATCGCTCCGGTGACAGTGTATTACATGAATCTTATAATTGCATATCTCTCTCTCTCTCTCTCTCTCTCTCTCTGATTGTGCCCCGGTACTTCGGCATTTTTCCCGTTAAAATGTAGTTGTACATACATGTACATGTACTATTAAGCTCAACGCGTTTACTGAAATACCAGTATCAATTAAATTATAACATATGGAGATAATGGACTATTCACCTGTCTCTACACTGAATCATTTCTTGTTTCCCAATACGAATGGTATTCCCAATACCAATACATCACACTGATCTAGTTGAATACGTTTTATTTCTAATTGCAATGTTTTTTCATATTAATACTGATATTTACTCTTTAAATGCAAATCATCATCATCATCTGCATAATTTTTATCATTATTATTATATTTTGGTTAGGCGTAGAAGGATTCATCTTGGACTTTCTTGAGAACCAAGTCAGCGATATTGTCGGTATGGTTATCCCTCTGCCAGCGTCTGATATCTTGGGTTGGTTCGGAATTTCAAGTAACAAAGACAAGCAGAGGAAGTATCGAGACGAGCTGAAGAAGGCCAAGTCCGACCTTCAGAATTCCCAAACCTCAGTCACGCGAAGTCTCGCGAGAGTTCAGTCAGATTGTAAATTGATCGATGATGTAAGTTCACCCTTACCCCAGTCACGCAAAGTCTCGCAAGATTTCAATCAGATTGTGAATTGTTCAGTGCTGTAAGAAAACGAGGAAGATACTTGTTAGAAGTGGGTTTTATGAACACATTTTGGTTTATTTTTTAAATTCCTCGTATTTCTTGCATACTAAGTACTGCTGACAGTCTGCGTGAATTTTCATGCTCCTAACTAATAACGTTCCTTTACCATTTCTATCTATCTATCTATTTCCATTGACGCTTGATCTTCCCTTGGCAAAATAATTTCCGATATTTTGTATTTTTTTTAATTCAAAAATCTGCAGCTACATTTTTTTAAATTTTCCCTTCATCCATTTCCCTTACAGTCCTGGCCAAAGATTCGTGCAGAAATTTCCAGATCTCTGAAGTCGGTGATGACCATGGGCGCGGACCTGAAAGAGGCCTTCCCTGATTTGGGCATCAAGCTCCGCACGTTGAACACCAACATAGTGAATTTCATCACAGGTGGTAGTTACTCGGAGGCCAAGGCTAAGATAATGCTCAACTTCGTCAAATGGGAGCTGAAGTACATGCAGGAGGAATTTTATCCAAAGGTATTACATGTTTAAATGGCATACTATAGATAAAGGTTAACCTAAATAAAAGACACTATGATATTCCATCCTGAAGGCATGCGGGTACTTGTGCAGTAAGCGTTAGCCCGCTGTATAGAAAACAATTTGATAATCTGTAAAAAATTTCTAATTTAATCAATGGTGTGATCATGCTCTTAGTTATACAAAAACCCGTTCAGAAAAGATCGGCCATTAAGTCACATTGGGGGTTGAAAGTTTCTCATTTTGGGCTCACGTTAATATTTCACCTCTGTCCGGACAATGACTCCGTTATATATATTTTTTGCTTATTATTTGTACACTCATTGTATGCTTTAGAGATTTAGATTAAAACTCTTCAGAACGGTTTCATGTTACATGTACATTGCAGCTTAAAGTAACAAATGAAGCCAGCATCGTTTCTTTCTTCAAATTTGTAATCGGAAAGTTAATTGACCCATTTATCCGTCTCAGTATCTTTGCCCTCGATTGCGTTGCCTTTGTCTTAAATTACTTTGTCGTTGAAACTTTTTGAATGATCTTGGAAATAAAAAGAAAATATCCAATGACTGATTACCGGTATGTCTAATAGCAATTACCATACGTTTGCAGCTGAACAACGCAATGAAAGACATATTCGGAACCACGGACAAAGACCAACTGGCCAAACTCATACGGATTGCAGATGATGTCGCAAAACAGATGAAGATCGACGCCTCTTTGGACGCCATTATGTCCACCATTGCGCCAATTGACGCAACGCTCAGTATCCTAGACATCCTCCGTATGCAGGCGAAACTTTTCCCCAAACGCAAGTGCTACAGAATCTACCCCTTTGCGCCAGCTCGAAACAACCAGAAACACCCAACATATGACGTCACTACCACGCAGGCGTTGTACTCCATCCGGGACGCCATCAAGAACGGGCTGGCGTTTGCTCCCAACACGTGCGCTGGGGTGGATGCTGTGAGGAAGGTCACCCTTGCGAAGGAGAGCCAGATGACAAATGCTCTGTTCAATTATTTGTTGAAAACGATCGATCCAAGCACCACGTGTGCTCCCGGCGTCACAGGGGACATATGCGCATAGTCGACCCGATGACGTATCTATGACAAGTCAACGTTGGTCTTTGTTATGCTTCCATAAGTAACTAGTGAAAATATTGATGACTTTATTTCTTGTTCAATTTTCAAAGTAAATTCTACCAGGGTGTGCATACTCCTACCGCTTGCCGCACAAATTAAAGTGATGATTAATATGAGAGGCTTCTTGTTTTAATCTGAAGAATTGTTAATAAATGTACTAACCATGGGAAATAAGATGTACAATGTTGTATTTTTAAAGCAATGTTTCACTTAAAGGAAGACGTCACTTTCTGTGGCCGGCCATTTTTGCACCAGTGACGTCAGAATCCTATTGATGCTCCGCTCGTCTGTCGTATTGCACAGGGGCAATCAAACTGGCCATATAACAACTGCATATGATTAAGCACTATCATTTAGTCATTTTAGGCCTCAGAAAGTGACGCACCCCCTTTAACATTTTCTCCACAGTCTGTCCCGTCGATCAAGTTTCTCGGTGTGCTGTGATGTTTTGTAGACGTGACTTGTTTGTCGTAGAAAAAGTTAGATACTTGTAATCAATTTTCTTATGCCGTTCCGTCAAAATTTCGGTAAATTCTTGTAGACTGTTTGCTGCTTATGTTTAGAATTCTCCATTATCAAATATTACAGGTGAATGAATCTTTGAGCTAATTTATAGTAACTTGTACTCTGTAATATTTTTCTGCAGTGAAATAAACTTTACTTCCGACTTCCAAAATTACGAAACACTTTGCTTTTATATTGAGTCAGCTGAAGGAAATTGCTTTATTTACAAACTCCATATTTGTACACCAGGTATTGTCTCCAACACACAAACGGGCAAAGCTAAACAGAATTGTCAATAAAATATAAACAAATAAACAAAATTGTATTAAAAGCAACCAGGCAAGCAGCCATAGTAACTTATAAAGTAACTCCGAAACCATGATTCTCTTCAAACAATGACGATGTCATTCAAGACCTTAAACTGTATGCATAGAGGTAGATTTCGCGTATTGCTGAACGTGATCCAGAAAAAAAATGGGAGAGCGGCAGACATTAACCCTTGAAGCTTTATCGCCTCTGTCGCAATGGCCCATAACTGAGCGAGGAAGGGTAATAATTTCATTACATCTAGAACAAGGTCAAGTGCCTTAACTGATTAAATGGGTCACGGTATCGCTGTGTTGGTTCGGTTTCAAATATCAGTTCGATAACTAAACACTTGCTGATAACATTACGGCAAAGGGTCTGTTCTTCTTGATCAACATGTCTTTACCGCCGGATTTCCATAGTTTGCATCCCGAGTCTCAAGCGTTCTTGAAGTACCTCAGTGAGGAGAGTGCCAGTCGTCAAGAGGAAATAACCCCGGAACTAGCCAGGGAAGCAGCTTTGGCGACCACCCTCGAGTCAGATGGCAGGTTAGACTTTGAGTACCAAGGAGAGCGACGGGAATATATTGTCCCTTCGCCGCACGATTCGGGTAGGACACTACCAGTGAGCGCAGCGTGTTGGTACAAAGTTGAAGCAGCGTTGAATGCACTTCTTCATTTTGAGAGTCTGCTGCTCGAGTCGTCATCTGCAAATAAGTTCAATTCAAACCAATTTGATCTCTCTCTCTCCGTCTCTCTCTCTCACTCTCTCTCTCCGCCTAAATTTAGATAAAAATACGAGTATATTGATACAGATATAGTTGTAATAAAATTGCGACATTCTGAACGTGCCTCAGAACACAGGCTTAATTCTGTTACAGCTGGTATCCCAGTCTGGGTGTACATCCCCAGCACAGTGGCGCCACACCCGGCTATATTCGTGTATTTCCACGGTGGTGGCTTCACAGTCGGGAACCGGGTCACCCATGACACGTGCTGCAAGATGGTCGCGACGTACGTACACGTAGAGACTATACATCTATACGTCTTCCGCATTCATCATAAAAGAATGGTTGTCACCACGAATGAAAAGCTTTGCGCTTACAACCGGATCTCTCCTAGACCCCATTCCTTTAGATATCATTGGCCTACGTGGATATACCCAACTCTCCCCAAATGCAATCAGTTTAACTGCATGACATGCCTCCTCTTGTTTCTAACGTACTCGTAATCACCAGCTTTTCTGTTTTTTACTTCACCCCAGGAGAAGGCGTGTCATTCAACTAACCTGATTGCAGTCAGCAAAAATCCCACAGGGATGGGTCGATCCACGAAGTCGATGGTGACTACTGGAATGGGGCCTAATTAGATTCGCGATAAAACCATTTTGCCTATGTCGGGTCATTCCGTATTTTCAACGTCACACATTCCTAGCTAGGAAAAAATTACACTGAAATACAAAATCTTCTTCCCTTAACTGCCCTACCACTTCGTCTTAACACAGAGAGTCGAAGTGCGTGATGGTGAACGTGGACTACAGACTTGCCCCCGAACATAAACTTCCTGCCCCTATGGACGACGGTATAGCGGCCGTGAGGTGGGCCATGGACAACAAGGCACTCATTGGTTAGTATAGCGTAGTCATAGATGTTTGTGTTAAACACAAAAAGTAAGATTCTTTTAGATTTATGTTTGAACTGTCCCAATGATTCATTTAATTCAACGAACGTTGCATAGCTCTGATTGTGCGTTGCATTAAGATATAAAGAAATAAAGATATAAAGTGTTTTGGGTTCAGAACTATAGTGTATTATGTGTACATGTACTTATTAGATATGGTATGTTTAAAACATAGGAACTCTTTAACATGTGAATAAAATATTATTTTCCTCCAGGTGGCAGTCCGAGTAGTAAAGTCGGAATTGGCGGGGATAGTGCTGGTGGGCGCATTGCGTCATCTGTAGCACATGACGTCACGGGACTGGCCTTCCAGGTAGTATGACGTCATCTCTTTCCATTATCCCTCATCTATAATACCGGGGTAGTGCATGTAACTATAACCGCCCTCACAACTTGCCCACTCCCCAATATTCAGATAGTTACTTCCCGTTACCAGGGACATAATAAGTTGAATCAAATAATTACGAGTAAATTTATGGTATATGTATTTAGTTTTGTTTGGCTTATTCCCGTTAGTCATAGGAGTGCAGAGTAATTTAGCACACATTTGAAGTACATGGTAGACCTCTTATTGTCTAACTTCCTCTCCGACTTTTACACACACACACACACACACATACACACACACACACACGCACACACACACACACGCACACACTATCTGGGTATGCATGCTTTCTTCCAGATCCTGGTGTACACGTGTGTAGATGCCACCTACCCCTTCCCCTCCAGTCAGCTGTTTGCAGAAGGCTATGGCCTCACAATGGCTTCCATGCTCTGGTAGGTATATTGGTAAAAAGTCTACTTAAAAGACGAATAAAAAACTTGATATCTCTGGTTATTAGCCTGTTCTATCAGTAATGACTAAAATGATAAATTCAAGAAAAAAGCGATCTTATTCTGGTTTTGTCAGGTATCTCTCAGGGTAAAATTCTCGATAGATCGAGCAACACACGTTTTACAAAATTTTAAAATAAGGACTCTAAAAAGCACTTAACTTGCAGGTACGCAAAACAGTTTACAAAAGACGAATCTGACAGGAGCGATCCAAGACTATCAACAATAAAAAGGCCAAGGTTCGGCCACCTTCCCCCAACGCTGTTCGTTGTGGCCAGCCATGATCCTATTAGGGACGATAGTGCGGGTGAGATTTTTATTGTCACACCTAACACAATGGGTATTTAACTTTGCCACATCAAACATGATTGGCTAGATGATCATATTGTATCAAAGCACCATGTTAGAGCCAAAGAATCATATAATGTTCGTTTTCCCCAATAAATGTCGTTCTGTCATTTATCAGTGATGATGTAACACGGCCGCATAGAAAGTCAAGAAGTACCTGAACCAATCGCATTTATTTTTTGGTCAGCCCCCCCCCCCCCAACACCGCTCCAAAAATACTAAACCGCCGACACATCTTTGTGTACATGTATTGATATAAGGTTCAGAACCATGCATTAAAGTTAATTAACCTTGGTCATTATGAACCATGGCCAATCATTAAAAACGTTAACCCCCTGCATAGATCCCATTATTGTTATATCAGACCTCGTGAATTCGTGTATTGCAGCTTATGCCAGTAAACTATCAGAGGCGGGCGTGAAGAACGAGACATTGTACCTGGAGGGAGTGGTCCACACGTTCTTCCGGCTGCCAGGTAACCTTATTACTGTTACTCCTCACCTTGAAAACAGTGCTAATTTACATGAGGTTTTCGGTCATAACTTTTGTCAAATATAAGAAACGACAAAAACATATAGTTTATGATTTGTTTTTGTATGTTTTTAGATTCTGCAAGTTCAAAATAAATGGTTTTTTTATCGCAATAAAAATTCAACATACAGTTTATAACGTTGAATCGTTGTCTGCAGGGAAAGAATGAAAAATACAATACTGATGTCGTATTGTTATTATTATGTCTTATTATTATTATTCTTTTCAATCTACTGCAGGCTTCTTCAAGGAGAATTGCCAGAAAGCATACAAGAAGGTGGCACAGTTTATTCAGGAGAACGCCCAATAAACGTGATTGGAGGGCGTGTGTAACACACTTTAAACATGTTGACTGCCCTTGGACCGTGTTGATAATGGACGTATAACATTACTCCAAGTAAATGATTCAGATTACCCCCCCCCCCCTTACACAGAGAAGCGATTTTCGTCTCTTTTTTGTGTGACCAGAAATATGGTGGACAAATATTTTTTTGGCCTAGGTAGGATTAAAAGTCCAACTTGGCCTGGCCAATTTACACAGACATTCTGTCTAGGTCAAATTAAAATCTGTCTGAGCAATAATGCAATCCGACTAGGTAAAATTGAAATTACTATAGGAACACTAAAACGCCATAAACCCGTTTCCAGTTGTATATTTAAACAGTATTAGGATGCATATTTTATACGTAAAAAAGATTGAATAAAACTGCGTGATTGTTTTCCTATGTTCATGAAATCGTAAAGTTTGAATAAAAAGCATGTTTTCCTATTGTTGTTGGCGTTATAAAATAACAAAAATAGCTTTTAGGCTGTACTGTAGTTTGTTATTGTTTTTTTTTATTTTAGTTTTGCTCTCTTTTTCTTCTCTTCTTTTGTCTTTATTTTATCTCATTTTATTGTTAAGCATCATTTATTATCCTCAGCATACTAACTTCAGGCACCCTGAAAATAAATTAAGTCGCGCGGATTGGGGTAGTGTGGGGTAGTGTGGGGTGGGTGGGATGGGCGTGGCTAACCATTCCTGTCAAGATTGCCATGGTTACAAATCTGTGTTTGTGTGTGTGTGTGTGTGGGGGGGGGGGGGGGGCACTCCCATCTACCCCCCTCCGCGGCTCCTACCCCAATAAACTTATGGGGACCTCTTCTGATGCCACTGGATGCACATCATTACCTGTCAGATGCAAAAGCAGCAAATTAACACAACGTGCGTCACGCTTGCTCTCCCATCTTGTAACATGTACAGTTGTACGACGTGAATGTCGAAGTTCAAAGGAAAATACGTGGGAAAATTACCCTGACCCTAAAATGTGGCCTTTATCAGTTGATGCACACAGTTGTAGCCTGACAGGTAAGAGATGAGATATATGTGTTCATACGGTATATTCCACCAAGTACCCTCTGTAGCGTAGCTTAGAAATGAACCTTCATACATTTACGTGTATCCCAAGCTAACAGGGAAACATGGGGAAGAGAGGGGGCTTCGTCCCGAATCTATATGGGAAAGGCTTGGCGTATACTGAGTAATCTGGCTGTCCTTATGATGGCCTAAGTTATTTTTTTTCGTTTAACATGTAAGTTTAAAAGACCGATTTTCTCACTTCCTTGGGGGGGGGGGGGGAAGGCTGAGGAGTCTGTTTCCTATGAATGTGATCTCCTCTAGGTATCATCGTTTAAAGTCATATCTGCAATCCAATCCTGGGGATTCATATCATGTGAACTTTTCAAACATCACCTAAAATGACTACCAAAATAATCAGGGGGCACTGACAGAATCCGTCTAGAAGTGATCCTGTAACACAGAATTATTGGTTAATTGGGAATAAAAATGGAATCTCCAAAAACATAACATTTAGCTTGTTATCCGGGCCAGGCACTACGCGCATCCTTCACTATTACGTTAGGGGTCTATAAGAAATAAAAATAAAATAAAAATTAAATTAAAATGAAAAAAGTAGAAAACAGTGGTACGTACACATTGAAATTAATCTAGCACAGCAATGCTCTGAAACAGCTCCACAGCTTTCGGTATTTATTCACAACAATCGGCGATAAATGACGTTTGAAAAGGCAGAGCTGGTTCTCACAGGTAGCCTATAAGGGCAAAGTCATAGACTCGTGTCAGCCATTAATGATGCGCATAAATAAGATGCGTTTCTCAGGGTGCATCCGGAACCACGTGTGTACAAAAGGGCAGGTGTTTCCAACAAGAAGAGTGGAGCAGTGTTTGCTGTATGAGGATAAGAAAGACGTGTTGTCCAGTACTGTTGAACTGATATTTGATCAAAACCGATGACCAATGGTCAACTGCTGAGACCAGTGTAAGTGACAGCTGACAGTCATTGCCATTGAATGCCTTTATTTTATCTCCTTGAAATTCTTTATAGTTGATCAAATAGCAGATGCCGTTATATACATGTGGACTGATGGAATATTAAGATTGTATTTTTGCATGTAGCTATATAATTATATATTAATATTTTCCAATTACAGATAACAAGAAGGGGTGGTCCAATTAACTGAAATCTCCTTGGGAATTGTGTTTTCCATCATAAAACAGTATTTCATTTTCTTGTAGATACAGGTAGAAGAACAGAATGCATGGCGTCAAATGGATACACGTGTGTGGCCTCTTACTCAGCTGCAGGTACACACTGTGTCAGTATATCACGTATAGATATTTAGATGGTAAGTAGGCCTATATGTTCTTAAGTTGCCTTAAGTCACCCTTTGTTTTTTATATGGGACTCGGTATGACTTTGTACTGCCTGGTGGGAAAGTAGCTCTAAAATTCCTTGTTAATTTTCAAATGTATGTAACCCTCTCGTGATGCAATTCTTGTCCAAATATTTGTATTTACCGTGGCCGGTGAAAAACCTTCACCGGTTTCCATTTTGGATAACGGGAATAGCTTAATAAATAGGAACTTATTATTCGCAATTTTGAATTGGTGATAGTACAAAAGTACAAATTTAATTGTTTACTGTATTAAGTTCGAACGCGCGCCATGTGTCTTTAACGCGGTTTTACCAGTGTTGTGAGAGCGTTCTTGACTCGCAATGGGTCTTTTCAAAAGATCGTGTTGAAAAATCTTAATGTACGATATTCTACATGTACATGCAGCATCGACTTCAAAGGGAGTTGCCGAGATGATTTCTTTTGGAACGCTGATGTATTTGACCTATTCTTCACAGGCAGAACTCACCATGTTTTGTAACCTTAACACTACAACTAGCACTTCAACTAGCTGGAGCAAGCAATTATGCGATTACACCTGACGTTTCTATTGCAGCTACTATTTACAGGCTCCCAGATTTGTCGGTCCCGCCCTCCGGTGACGTAAATGATCACGTGGTGCCATTCCCGCCAATGCCGGCGCGTCCTCCTCATCCACCAAGTGTCACTGTGGGCGACATGTTGACAGAAGTGATATTTTATCTGCTGCGACGGACCAGCAGAGAAGTAAGTCTTGTCTTCTTATAATGGGAGATTTGTTGCCAAGAGAAGGTTTGATACAGACATTGCAACAAATCGGTTCAGTAGCCAGCAATTTTAAAGGTTGAAGTTTTTTCTGAAAAATGATTTACCCTTTTGTTGATATAACTTGAAAAATGACATAGCAAGAACGTCACATTATAACGCAGAGGAAAGCTTTAATGGCCAAAAGCCCCCCACCCCCCGCAACGCGAGCCCTAAATCTTTACATTAGACTATAGTCTTAAAACGGGAAAGATAGCGTGGTACCGCGAACAGCGCGTTTCGACACATTTCATTGTATCCCTAAAACTGAACATTACCAGTACGCTCTTCCTTTGACTCCTCTCGCTGCACCTTTAAAGAAGCAAGAACCTGGAGAGCAGGCACGGTGTATCCCCAGGATGAAGAATTCAGGTCTTGCGTAAAAATGTTACATGTTACTAAATTGCTGTAAATGTCAACCACTTTGACCTGACCCCGATTTCCATACATACGTAAGACGGTGGCCCCTTGAACACACAGAGGTATCGCTTGACACCGACATTTAGTATTTAATTAACGGAAAATTGGAGGGATCCAAGAGGCTCGGAGGCAAAGGCTACCAGATGGTTTTTTCCTCTTTGTGTTTGGCAGGATTGTTGGAGATATCTTGTGTAGACCTTTTAGTCCATGTAGATGTGTATTTTTAGCTAATTCAATTACTGAATGTGTACGGTATACACTGTGTTCTTTTAAACCACTAGCACTGTTCATTGGCTTTGAAACAGAGAGAGAGAGAGAGAGAGAGAGAGAGAGAGAGAGAGAGAGCATGAATGTTTTGTCATAACTGTTTGTACTTTTCATTTCTTCATATACGTCACTGGTTGTCAGTTTAAAGCATGAGCCATTATTGAGGGAAAAAAGTAAAAACTTTAAAATAGCATTGCATACAATAAAACAAATTACAGTATAAACTGATTTCTAAGTAATTGTAAATAATTAATTATACAACCTAGTAATGTTGTCGGTAGGTGAAGACTCAGAACGGTCCAACACCCGATGGTCTCCCTTCCGGAGGAAATCCGGGTAGACATGACAACACTGGAACAATGAAAGGTAGCTTTTCTTTCTTTCTTTCTTTCTTTCTTTCTTTCTTTCTTTCTTTCTAATTTATTTATTTATTTGTTTATTTATTTATTCGCTCGTTTTTTCTCAATAATTTATTCTTTTGATTCACCCCTTTGGTAACAAAAGAGGAAAAAGAAAAAAAACAATAACAAAACGTACAGATAAGATCTGGAGCATTTATATAACTTTAGGTAAGGTGCTTCATTTCAATCGCTTTTTTAAATTTCACTTTTTTCTTGGAATAAAGGTCCTGGGAACAGGAAAGGAGAGACTGGAGGGCCAACTTGGAGAAGGGGACAAAGATACCCAACCGGAACCCCATTGGGACGTAAGGTACACTTTGTATCAGGTACCACGTGGTGCTGATTCTGCCAATGAAAAAAAAGTAAATTCTTACTGCCGAATATTGGAAATCAATAATATTTACATTATGACGGAACGAGACCTTGAGCCAATATTGGTGCCCCCTTTTTCTCATTTTAATGTATTTACGATTCGTGGCAAGTCATTATGTACACCTCAATAGGTCTTTTAAAATGTTTAATTAAAATTTGAAAGAAAAAATGAATGAATGCACTAGTATGTGCGATGGGGATAATAAAGCATTCACGTGCATTGATGAATTGTATGTACCAAAATTCCATGCAGCCAAAGTATGATAACATATTTCATTCCAAAACTATGAAAGATTCTTGCGTTTTATTTCAATCCTACGACCCTGTGGCATTATAATTTAGTGTCAAAATCGTATATTAATCATTGTCTAATCATATATATTCCAGGATCCTGACTGCCAGAAAGCTGATTCAGCTCTCCGTGGTCCGCCAGGAGCCCCGGGACCCGCAGGCCCCCCAGGACAGTGTGACCAAGGTGGGGACTTAGTGGCCGGTGGGGGGGGGGGGGGGGGGG